GCACATCAATGAGGTTGATTTCAATACTGATGGTACCGCAGTTTCAATGTTGTACAATTTTTTTTGTGTTTGTTTCTTTTTTGAGATGGAGTCTCGCTCTCTTGCCCAGGCTGGAGTGCAGTGGCACGTTCTTGGCTCACTGCAACCTCTGCCTCCCGGGTTGAAGTGATTCTCCTGCCTCAGCCTCCTGAGTAGCTGGTACTACAGGCATGTGCCACCGTGCACAGCTAATGTTTTGTATTTTTAGTAGAGACGGGGTTTCACCATGTTAGCCAGGATGGTCTCGGTCTCCTGACCTTGTGATCCACCTGCCTTGGCCTCCCAAAGTGCTGGGATTACAGGCATGAGCCACTGCGCCTGGCTCAATGTTGTACAATTTTATCTGAGATCCATACAGAGTAACTTTGACCAATCTCTCCACGAATGTGAGGACATGATTGAACCGTGCAGCAAACGCATCCCTGATAAAGTACTCTGCCAGGTCACCCACGGCCTGCAGCAGGGAGCTCAAGTCTCTCAGGGAGCAGTGCAGCCATCGGCAGTCTTTCTCCACAGTATTGTTCAACCCGTCTCCTGGCCCTGAAGTAACTATAAATTGCTGTAATCTCAAATAAACTTCAAATTATCCTGAAGAACTGGGAACGGTGTGGAGAAGGCGTGCATGGGCAGAAGCTCCATCACTTTGTCCACCACCTCCAAGCTCTGCTGTAAGCAGCGCTGTCACTCTGTCTGCTGATAGTCATCCAGAGTCTCGTCATCCAACTCCTCCAGCTGGACCTGGTTGTATCTGAACTGGATTTGATTCAACACTTCTGTAAGGAGGATCACCAGGCCGTTTTCATACTTGTTGAGAACTGCTTTCTTGTCTCCAAGACGACTTTTAATTTTATTTGTCAGATAGTCTTTATCAGCAGCAAGCCACCTTGCTAGCAGCTACTCAGGGAACCCTTGGACCATGACACGGACCCACCACAGGAGCCCCATTTAAGTTAGGACCCCCTGGGACCCAGGCTCCCTGTAAGTAGGAACACTCTACTTATTGAATTCCATGTGCCAACTGCAGACAGGAAGGCCATTGGAAAAAAGATTGACCAAAACACAAAGGGGCCAATAATGAAAAAATCAACTTCCAATTCACCAAATGCCTGAAATACCTGAGGGATCTGGGGCTGAGAACTTCTGTAATAAGGATCAAAAATGATGGGGTCTGAGGGCAGGCTCTGACCCAGCTAGTACCCTCCATATTTCCCACGAGGAGCCCTGGGTCATTATGAGGTTGAGAAATCAACGTTTAGCCTTTCTAGTAGATACCACTGCCACCTACTCAGTATTAAACACACACCTGTTCAGATTGTCTTCTGAAACTATGAAAGTGATGGCAGTTTTAGAGAAGACCCTAAAAGAACCATTCCTGCAACCCCTAGATTTCCAACTGTAACAGACCTGCCTAAAGCATCGCTTCTCATATATGCTTGAATACCCTATCCATTTCTTGGGACATCATCTCTTGACTGAACTGAATGCAAAGGTTACCTTTTCCCCAGGATAGGTGAATATTACAGTGTCTGCAGATCAAGCCTGTACCTTGCAAGCTGCATTGTTGCAGCAACAGGCTCAGAATCTCTCTCTCATCCCTGAAGAATTTCTATAAGAGGTGGGTACTGATGTCTGGGCAGATGGGAAACCAGAGAGTACTAAGTCTGCAGTCCCAGTACCAAAGTATGTGAAGGAACCACACTGCTCAGTCTTAAACAATACCACCTGAGAGAAGAGGTATGGGGAGGTGTTCAGTCTTTGTTGTCTGATTTCCTCCAGTCTTTGAAATCAATAGACCTTGCTGGTCCTCATGTAAGAAATCTTATCTGGACTTCTCTCAACTGACTAAAGCAGAGCATTGTGAAAATACAGCCACCATTATCTCTCTCCAAGGGAATCCTCATGTAACCATGATAGGTGTGTGGCCTGATGCCTATATTCATCTTCTCATCTGTGTGTCAAGGAGTATGGGGCTAGGGTTTTGGGTTTTTTTTTTAGTTTTTGTTTTGTTTGTTTTGTTTTGTTTTTGAGAGACAGGGTCTCGCTCAGTCACCCAGGCTGGTGCTATCATAGCTCACTCCAACCTTAAACTTCTAAGCTCAAGCAATCTTCCTGCCCACTACTGGCCTTAAATTTTTTTTTTTTTTTTTTTGATAAAGTCAGGTTATCACTATGTTGCCCAGGCTGGTTTTCAACTCCTGGCCTCAAGTGATCCTCCCACCTCAGCCTCCGAAGTAGCCGGGACTACAGGCATGTGCCACCACACCCAACTAATTGCTTTAATTTTCTGTAGAGATAAGATTTCTCCCTATGTTGCCCAGGCCGATCTCAAATTCCTGAGCTTAAGTGGTCCTCCCACTTTGACCTTCTAAAGTGTTGGGATTACAGGTGTGAGCCACTATGCCCAGCCCCTACATTTCAGTAGGGGTGAGTGAAAATAGAGATGTAATTTTCTGCACTGCACTACTGCATTGATGCTATGAATTCCATCCATGGAACCCTTGGAAGTCCGTGGATCACAGATTAAGACACCTGTAGACATTGTCATCCCCTGAATAAGGAAACTAAGTCATTTTTATGGTTTTGTGAAACAGTAGTTCACAAACATATAAGAATTGAATAGTGGCTAACAAAAGAAATATTGGCTTGGTGTGGTGGCTCACGTCTTTAATCCCAGCACTTTGAGAGGCTGAGGTGGGTGGATCACCTGAGGTCAGGAGTTTGAGACCAGTCTGGCCAACATGGCGAAATCCCGTCTCTACTAAAAATACAAAAATTACCCAGATGTGTTGGTGGGTGCCTGTAATCCCAGCTACTCAGGAGGCTGAGGCAAGAGAATTGCTCGAACCCAGGAGGCAGAGGTTCCAATGAGCTGGGGTCATGCCTGGGCGACAAGAGTGAAACTCTGTTCCTAATAATAATAATAATAATAATAATAATAGGACATATCAAGGAATTAACAGAAAATACTTAAAATCAAAGACAATAAAGGATGAACATAATTTTCAAGTGATTTAAAATTTATATTTAAAGGGCAATACCTCCTTAAGAACCGAAATCAAAAGTCACTGCCCAAGGAGCTTCTGTTACAGAAGCTGGCAGACAACTCTAGGAAGTAGACCCATTAAGTGGTTTCCAGAAATACTGGTTGGGCTACCTTCCTGGGCTGCATTGGTAGTGGCTAATTTCTGTAAATATAACGATATACTTTTCTCCAGTTTAGTTTAGATTGCTTCCTAATTGGTTTTATATCCAAAAAGCTTTAGGACTTTGGGCTTAGCTCACAGGAGAGTTCATGGATGTATGCTTGGAGTCCATATTTTTTTTTCCATATTAAAAGTGGAATATCAATTGTTTGAGAAATATTGGCTCATACATTGGCTCAGGTGGCTTCTCTCTCCCACCTCTCTCTACATTCATTAAGTCACTGCTTGAATTTAAGTCTTCAATAGATAATGCACATTTGTTGGAAAGAGCTCTGGATGTGTGTGCACACGACAAACAACTGACTTTCCCTCAGAATCACCTCCCAAGTCATCCAGATACAGATGCCCAGAATTGTTCCCTTTTTGCTCTCCCCTGTCCCCCAAAGACCTAGAGAGTAAGAGGATGCACAGAACCTGCTCTGAGACTATCTCCCGTTCACCCAGTCTATCAGCACATGATTTCCTGTTACTCAAAGATTGCTTGACAGGAGCGGGGGCTTAAAGATAAGTTCTGGATATAAACTGAACCTTCTGTCATTCCAACAATAAGGTGGCCCAGTGAGAAAATCAACTAAGGTGGTTTGGCTAGAGCAGACTTCAGAGGTGTTGATAGAAAAGATTTGCAAGAATCTTACTTTATTCATAAATCTTAATTTTGACTAGCGTTGATGAACCAGTATTGGTCACATTTGCCAATTTGCAGGGAGTTGGCATGAAAAATACGGTGGAAAATTCAGGTTGTGATGTGAAAGGTAACCCATTGAACACTTGCACAAACTCAGTTGAAGAGTTCGTGGTCTTGTCAGTTTGAGCTGAGTTCAGGACTGAATCTTGAGGTCCTGAAAAACAACTTAACCAGCACCTTGTTACCTGTACTTCACAGTCAGATGTTATGTATAGTAGCATTGTGGAAACTATGGCTAGGTTATGTGACATTTTAATAGCAAGCAGTACAGTGTCACCAAACAGCTAAAGGTTATAATTAAAGAACTGAGTAGAGAAATTTCAGATACTGGCTACCTAATCATTCATAGCTATTTGGCCACTGTTTTTACTAGATATTCTTTCACCTCTCAAGGAAGGTCTTACAATTGACAACATTAAAAGTGATTTTCTGGCCCGACCAAGTGGCTCATGCCTGTAATCTCAGCATTTTCGGAGGCTAATGTGTCGAGGATTAGCTGGACTCGAGTTCAAGACCAACCTCGGCAACATGATGAAATCCTGTCTCTACAAAAATTAATACAAAAAACTAGCCAGGCATGGTGTTGCATGCCTATAGTCCCAGCTACTCGAGAGGCTGAGGTGGGAGGATTGCTTGAGCCTGGCAGGTTGAGACTGCAGGGAGTAGTGTTTGTGCGACTGCACTCCAGCCTGGGTGACAGAGCAAGACTCTGTCTAAAAAAAAAAAAAAAAAGAAAGAAAGGAGGAAAGGCTGGGGACGGTGACTCACACCTGTAATCCCAGCACTTTGGGAGGCCCAGTTGGGTGGATCACAAGGTCAGGAGATCAAGACCATCCTGGCTAACACGGTGAAACTCCATCTCTACTAAAAATACAAAAAACTAGCTGGGCGTGGTGGCGGGCGCCTGTAGTCTCAGCTACTTAGGAGTCTGAGGCAGGAGAATGGTGTGAACCTGGGAGGCAGAGGTTGCAGTAGCCGAGATCATGCCACTGTACTCCAGCCTGGGCGATAGAGCGACACTCTGTAAAAAAAAAAAAAAAAAAAAAAAAAAAAAAAAAAGTGGCTTTCCTCAGTGAAGTTCCCGTGTAACATGGCATAAGGCATAACCCTCCAGGGACTTCTCCAACAGTTTCTTAGAATTGAGAGCAGATGCTAAGTCTCTGGTTGTCTCCTGACAGCACCAGATAACCCCTTTCTGGGGTCACCTAGGTCTTACAATTATTTTGTGCCCAGGGCTCAGCCTTTGATGTTTGTAGCCTTTGCTCGAGGCTACTGTTTGAGTGAACCCAAGTGTTCCAGATGAAATGATACAAGAACAAGTTCACATAATAAGGCTATTCCCCATCGCCCCCTCCAATCAGCTGGAGCGCTGCAGCTCCCCCTGCTCTTCCTTTCTCCACTGCTGCAGATTTCCAGGGCTCTGAGAAAAGGAGGAGGACGCAGACTCTGCTCTTCAGATCCACACGCTGATCCCCACTACAACTAGTGACCTGAACTCGGGAGTCTGAGTGGGGTAAGAAGGGCTCTGCTGAGGATGCTCGGGGTACAGCCAGGAGCACTAGAAGGGGGCTGACTGAGCTTTCAGATAGCAAAAAATGGAGAAGGATCCAAATCATGGAAAACAAAGGCCTGAATTCTGGTCAGCCTCAGTCCCACTGATATAGGCTTTCCCTGCCCCTCCCTTCCTTCACCGCCAGTCCTCCTAACCACAATGCATTAAAGCCGCTTGCATCCTACTCTTCTATCCTGTGTAGGCCTTTATCACTAGGACAGGGTTCCGTGGATGAGGAACCCTGTGTCTGATGTGGGCATTTGACATGGTTAGAAGTGCTCTCACATGCTTGCATCTCATTAGACTCTCGCAGGTCTGTAGGGAGCTGTTAATAGGCCTATCTGAGGACACCGATACTCAGAGCTGTGAATCAGGCTAGAGGTTCAGTAGGGCCAGGAATACTCCTCATGGGAAATGAGGACAGAGAGCTGGTGAAGAGATAACTTTTTCAAATGACCATACATCCTATGCTGTGACCACAGTAGCTCTGCGGGGGACTGTTTTAGTCTTGGTGCCTGATTGATGACAGCAACAGTTCTAAACTGATGTCCTTTTATGATGGCATTGCCAATAAGCTCTAACAAATGAAGATCATTTGTAATAGCAACAATTGGGGAAATGGCCTCTGAGAAGGGATGTGGATAGTGAATAATGATCACATGTTTCACCCAGGCTTTGGGAAAAGTGTTATAAGGAATTCAAGGTTGGAAAAACATCATTTTTCAGAGAAGTGCAACCTGGGCTGTGGTTTCCAGAACCAATGCCTTCTGCCTAGGAACCACCTCCCAAGTAGTTACTCATCTTCTACATTCCCTTAAAATGCAACAATCTTTTCCACTTTGCAGACAAAGAGCTTAAAATGTCATTTTTCTATTGGACACATGATCTCCTGAGAGTTTATTTGGTAAAAGAGAGCTAGATAGTGATTGGCTCCTCAAATTGGATAGAAGACAGGGTAGACAGGAGATATTTGAAATTCTCAAAAGGTACATGAGCTATATTTTCCAAATTTGTGTTTGGCTCTCACACGCTAAAGCATATTTTTAGTTCTTAGAAAACTGTATTCTTTTTTTTTTTTTTTTTTGAGATGGAGTTTTGCTCTCTTGCCCAGGCTGGAGTGCAGAGGCGCAATCTCAGCTCACTGCAACCTCTGTCTCCCGGGTTCAAGCGATTCTCCTGCCTCAGCCTCTCGAGTAGCTGGGACTACAGCCACTACGCCCAGTTACTTTTTGTATTTTTAGTAGAGATGGAGTTTCACCATGTTGGCCAGGGTGTTTCTCGAACTCCTGACCTCAGGTGATGCACCCGCCTCGGCCTCCCAAACTGCTGGGATTACAGGTGTGAGCCACCACGCCCGGTCCAGAAACTGTATTCTTTAATGAGAATCATCATCTTCTAATAGGGAAACAAATAGCAATATAATATGTGCCCAAGTGCCTGCTTGGCAGGGAAAGGAATTTTAAGGTGGAGCTCAGTTCTCTGAGTATTGTCAGGATAATGTTTTTCTTTCTCTTCCCTGTAGACACGCAGATGGCCCTGGTGACTGAGATGACATCCTCTCTAAAGATCTGGGGCATGCTCTTGGCCCTGCTTTACATCCTTTGCAGGATGTGTGTATACAGTAAAGACGTTTACTGGAGAGAATTCATAAAACTTCATTACTTAAGTCCAAGTAGAGAATTCAAAGAGTACAAATGTGATGTCCTCATGAGAGAAAAAGAAGCTCTGAAAGGCAAAAGGTCTCATATATTCATCTATAGCTTATGGTTCAAAATTCAGCGTACATGCATTGATGAGAAGGGGAGCAACCGATATAGAAATGCATATGTATGGGCCCCAGGTGCCCTTAAAGTACTCGAGTGTCACTGGGAGAAGTACAACAGGAGGTACATAGAGAGCAGAAGCTTCAGCTACATTGAATTCCATTGTGGCATAGATGGATATGTTGATAACATAGAAGACCTGAAGATTATAGAACCTATCAACAACTAGAAAGTCTATGCACATCCTCAGATATTGGTAGAGTATTCAGTGCTTCCAAAGTGGTGGGCCCTGCCTCCATCAATAGCCCCAGCCACTCCCCACTTACATTTATGTGTCAGTGTTTTCCAAGTACTTAGAGTTTATGTACCTCGCGATTTCTTGATACCAAATCTTTGTGTGGTGTCTGTATCTGTAATACAATTTTGTCCTAATTTGCCTAATTTACACCCATATTTTTTCCAAGATTCAGCTCCTATGGCATCTATCCTTGACTAACCTAAGACTTTTCCTGATATTGACTCTCTTTATACCTATCCAAGCTGAACAAACTTCTTTTTCTTAAATAAAATATAGTATTCTAATATATGTGACACTTATATATATTATGTGTGCAGAGTATGTATTGTGTGATTGGTGTGGGTATGGGTGATCTAGGCTATTTTTGCCCATGGCTGTGCAAGGGGTTTAGGGTGCACTTTATGTGTCTGGGTCTAATGTATGTGATATATTTACGTAATCATGTGGATATAAATGATTGTGTGCTAAACTGGAGACAAGTAGTGATGTAAGCACTCATCATGGTATCAATCTGAAATAAGCAAAAAGGTCAAAATCCAGTTTTAAGAGCGGGCTGGGCACTGTGATTCATGCCCCTAATTTCAGCACTTTGGGAGGCCAAGACAGGTGGATCACCTGAGGTCAGGGGTTCGAGACCAGCCTGGCCAACATGGTAAGGCCCTGTCTCTACTAAAAGTACAAAAATTTGCCATGCTTGGTGGCACATGCCTGTAGTTCTAGCTATGGGAGACTGAGGCAGGAGAATCTCTTGAACCTGGGAGGCAGAGGTTGCAGTGAACCGAGACTGTGCTACTGCACTCCAGCCTGGGCAACAGAGCAAGACTCCATCTCAAAAAAAATAAAAAAGAATTTACTAAAGTGAAAGTCTGGGAATGGACATTCTGTGGCACACAGACTCCAGAGAAATAGGGTCAGTACTCCAAAATTAAAAGTTAAGTTCTTTTTTATGTAGGAAAAAGAGAAAGAAGTGAGAGAGAATTGCATTTTCTATACCAGACTGGCTCAAGAGTTACAACAAATTAATTGGTTACACTTCTGCCCCCCCACCACATGACTTGTTCTATTTATAGTTGTTTTTCAATCCTTTCCAACTCAAAAGAGTGTATTTAACATTCCATCTTAAGACAATGTGAAACTGGGAGACTGAAGTGGTTGGATTGCTTGAGCTCAGGAATTTGAGACCAGCCTGGACAACATGGTGAAACTCCATCTCTACAAAAGAAAAGCAAAAATTAGCCAGACATGGTGGCATGTCCCTATAGTCCCAGCTACTGAGAAGGCCGAGGTGGGAGGACGGCTTGAGCCCAGAAGACAGAGCTGCAGTGAGCCGAGATTGTGCCACTGCACTCCAGCCTGGGTGACAAAGCCATACCCTGTCGCGAAAACAAACAAAAACAAAACAACAACAACAAAACAAAAAGACAATGTGAAAGCGATGAAGTCTTTGCATGAGAAAGGGAAGAGGGAAGTTAATCCATAATGAACATCAGCAGTTGAGAGGGGATGAGTCTTCCCTGGGCCCCTTCAGTCATTTAAAGCATTTCACAAATGCAGGTAAGAACGAGGCTTAATCTCTAGAGAAACCAAGATACACTTGCCTTAGTTACAGCTGCCTGGTACATGACTCAAGCACCATCATTACATTCTTTTAAGGTTCCCAATAATTTAGAGTTCCAACAACTTAGATTTGAAACTGTAGATTTTAACGATGTGACACGCTTAGTTCCACTCAGATTTCTGGGTATAGGCAGAGCCGACTGGGTATAAAACACGTGGCATGGTTTCTGGCTTATAATAGGTACTCAGTGAAAATTGTTTCCTTTCCCATCTCACCCACTGGTTTTGTACTTCAATTTCGATTTTGATAAACAATCATTGTAAGTACCCATCAATCATCTGCTGTCCCTGACCCTAGGGGTGGGAATTTCTCATACAAAAATAGAGTAGGCCGTCATCTATATAAAAGCTGTACACACCCAGGATGAAAAAGAACACCTCCTCCATCAACCACACACTTACAGATGTCTCTATTAGACTTAATTCCTTAAGAATGTTTCTAAGAAGGTCAGTGCATGTTAAATGGGCTAAGGCATTACATTTCCTAAGGATGAAACATCAAGTAGAAGACATTAGCACAAATGATTTTATCTGATAATAAACATGTTCGCTTCGCAGAGACATAGGGCTCTGGCCTTGAAACAATCAGGGAAAAGACCGAAGTATCAACATTATTCCTGAGGTGACTGCACACTTTCCTGTAACTCTGGTCTCAATGAGTAGTCAGTGTATCTAGATTGGTCATCATGTTCCAAAGGCAGTTCCTCAACTTTGCAATTTTTGAGTGCACCTGGGGAGGAGCAGACACCTGGGGATGACAATCTCCACCAACCAAACTCAGAAGAGACTAGTATTAAACCAGCAGCTCTTCATCAATGATCAATTTACATATGGGGAAAAAATGCCATTTTTTCTTATTTGATAAATGCTCTTTAAAATATAGTGTAGGAGAGGAAAAAAATTTTACTTCTACCCTTTTAGGATCTTAGCAGGGGCCCCATAAGAAAAGTCAGATGAACAAGAGAAAAACAAATAGAAATGTGGTAACATGCATATCTCATATACACATGGGAGAAACTCAGAGAGTAACTCAAAGGGATGGCTAGAACTTGGGCTTCAATGCCATCTTCAGCTAAAGCTAAGGAAAATGTATGTGGGGAGCAAGTCATAGGGAGATGACCAGAAAAGTAGAGTAAACGAGGGAAAGGTTTGATTTGAGTCGAGTACCTTCTCCACTGAGAAAGGTCTCTTGTGATTTAGAGTCACCTTTCTCCTTCTGGCACAGAGAAGGAGACATCTGTAAGAATGGAGGTTTCCCTTATGAATGCACATTTTCCTTGCAAAAGGGTAACGTGTACTCTATTTTCAGAGATTTCCTATGTATCCTGTTTCCCAAAATAAGCAAATAATCAAAATAATCTTTGTGCTAGAGAGCATACTTTGTGGTGGCATATTCTGGTCTCCTAAAATAGGTTCTCACAAGTAACTCATGTAAGTAGCTCTTTAAAAGTTGCTTTTACTAAAAGGTTAGCAGATAGTGGTTCAAAACACTACAAGAGGAAAGTGCATTTAAGGTCAATTAATATATTAGCTTTGTATATCAGCCGAATGTGATATACAAAGTGATATATATTTAAAGGCAATTCGCATATTGGCTTTGTGTTGTTTCTCTGCCTTTCACAGTATTTTATTTATTTATTTATTTATTTTGAGATGGAGTCTCCTCGTGTCACTTAGGCTGGAGTGTAGTAGTGTGATCTTGGCTCACTGCAACCTCCGCCTCCCAGATTCAAGGGATTCTCCTGCCTCAGCCTCCCAAGTAACTGGGATTACAGGTGTCCACCACCATGCCTGGCTAATTTATGTATTTTTAATAGAGATGGAGTTTCATCATATTGGTTAAGCTGGTCTCAAACTCCTGACCTCAAGTGATCTGCCCTCCTCAGCCTCCCAAAGTGCTGGCATTACAGGTGTGAGCCACCATGCCCGGCCAAGAATTTCGTAAGGTGTTCCAGATCTTGAATTTCAGTGTTGTGGCTGGTGCCAACTGGTCTAAAGACTTCCACCAAGGAACTGGCTCAGCACAAGATTGTAGTTTTCTTTTTCCCCCTGTCCCATGACTGCACCCCTCATTTCTTGATGAATCAGAGATCCCTGATGAATCAGCTCTGGTCCAGACCTCTTACAAACCCTACCCCTAAACCTCTGAGGGAGGCAGATTTGAGTTTTCTTCTCATCCCCTTGTCTGTCTGCCCTAGGAATATTACACTATCTCTCTGCCTTTATTGCCATTATTTGGTATGTTGACTTGCTAGGCACCAGGCAATGAATCTATTGTGCTTAAAATTTAGTGGAGAGTGTCAGAGATGATAAATTCCTTTTCAAAAGGTTTTAATTCCTTGTTCTTCTGGGATCTTTGTTTCTCTAGTTGCTATAGTTACCCATGCTATAAACAACCCTTTCTGCCCTTGCCGCACCCTGACATGCCCTGACAAACCTAGACATGCCTTATGCCATAAGGGATAGCCTTCCCCTTCCTGCCTAGATACCTGTGTTCAATTTCAAACAGCCAATTGGGTCAGTTTAGACTGTGCAGTCCAACCCCAGCCAGTGGAGAAAGGACACAGCAGTAGGAACAAATTGCATTAGGGATAAAAACCCTGGCCCTACCTGGCTCAGTGTGCTTTTGCCATCGTGACTGGCACAAGCTGCATCCTTCTGTAGAAGTAAATTTGCCTTGCTGAGAAAATTTCCATTTGAGTGCTATTCCTTTTGCAGCACCAAAACTTGTTTTTAACAAGAGCTAGCCTGGAGGCTCCTCATGGGCATTTGTCCCTGGTTCAATGCCTTCTTGCCACTGTGGTGAACCTGGAGATCCACTGAAGTCCCTGGAATCTTTCTTGCCAGCATTGCACTGCCAACCTTCAGCCCAGGCTTGCTTGCAGGGGAGGAATGGTTTCTGGAAATGGAAGAAATCTTTACTGTGTGTTCCCAAGCACAGGTGACATCCCCAATTTCCTTCTCCCGATCTACTGGCCTTCTTAGAGGTTTTGCAACCTCTTTGGAGGTCCCATCGACTCTCCTCCACCTATACAAAGGGCCCTGCTCAAGGGCATCTTTCCCACTTGGAAGGAGCCCATTAGGCACTGTCCAGGGGAACTACTCTTGGGCTTCTTGGTCTCAGTTCTGAAATCTGATTTCTGACTTGTGAGGTCTCATTACTGTTCTTGTTTGTCCCGTTTACCTGTGTGTCAGGGGGCATCCTAAAGGAATCACTAGCTGAAGCTCAGTAGGCCTGACTCAGGGAACCCATCCTCTCTGCCTCACAGTTACTTTTGGTGAGTGCCGACGGACCAACCAGCAGCATCTTGGTGGCCTAGCTCAGGGTGACAATTTGTTCCCTCTTCCTCACGAGTGGCCATTCACTACATTGCTGGCTAGAGGTCATCCCTCCCCCCATGGAGTGGATCAAAGGCACTCAGACATTGAGTGGAACAACTGGTGTTTGCATCTTTTTTGTATGTTAATTGTAATTTTATCTTGGTTGATGTGAAAAATGCTGATTTTGTCCTCTCAGGCAGGCTGTTAGGCTGCATTTCACAAAATTGGGCTTTCATTGCCTAAGAATCCTTTAAAAGAAAAAAATACTTTTGTAATACAACCTGGCCCCTTCATCCGTCAGAATGTGGGGGAAAAGTGACCAAAAATAGGTTCCTTAGTTATTATG